AGAGAGAGAGAGAGAGAGAGAGAGAGAGAGAGAGAGAGAGAGAGAGAGAGAGAGAGAGAGAGAGAGAGAAGGAGAGAGAGAGAAGGAGGGAGAAGAGGGAGGAAAGGCAGGGCCTTTCTCCCGATACCTGCGAGGCAGCTATGGCGCTGCAGGCTGGCGCTGGGCCGCGGGCTGGGCCGGAGGCTGGCGTCCTCCCACCGCTGCACTATTCTGCTGCCGCCGCGCTAATCTCTCCTCAACCGCTGCGCTGATTCTGTCCACACTCCGCCGCTAACGCTGATGTGCTGCGCTATTCTGAAGACTAACATCCTCACTACTAACCTCTCCCACTGAGGCTGGTACCCGGCTAATATAGTGCTGGGCCGGCCTCAGTCCTACCTGTGCCTTCGGGTCTGGGCCGTTGATCCGATCAACGGTTCAGATTCGAATCTGAAATTGGCGCCTAAACGTGGCTGCCTTGAAACTGCACCGCCGGTAGGTCCTAGTGTTGGACCGGTACCGGCCTGGCCCTTGTGGCCGTTGGCCTCGTTGGCCTCTGGGCCGACCTATGGTCTGAACCGTCGTGACCCCTGGTCCTTAGGCCTAAACTAGCCTAACTACGGAACCGGGCCCTAACTGGGACCCGTGTGGTATCAGTATGCCACATACACACACAACACCACACCACGGACATGGCAATCAACACACTCCGCTCGAACAACACGCAGCCCCACCAACGCTACTTAACATGGTCGCTCCAAGGCGGACCAACTGCCCACGGATTCCACAGCCGCCTTCACAGTACTTACTGAACAATGCGCGTTTAGGGCATCAGGCCCCAGGCCCCGCTGTGCATGCACGGCCTGGAACCGCACCCTCAGCCTCAAGAACGAAGTCTCGTAACCACTACAACCCTTGGAGGTGTTATCCAGCAGGCCTCAGAATAATCAGATCTGAATAGACTGTAAGTGACTTCGGCCACATCATGACCCCTGCCGTTCGCCGAAAGGTCTCGTACAGAAATTGGCTTGGTCACAGGATCGAGGCCCGAAAACCAGCCAAGCTCTTATCACACGCTGGTTCATTCGGGCGCAGGTTTGAAACGTCGAAGGGCAAACTCATCAGTTCGAAAGAAAAGAAAAGGAAAAGAAGGTCCAGACTCCAGACAGTGGCAGACACCAATCAGCCAAACTCAAAACTGACCATGGTTACCTTGGTGGGCCTAACCCAGGTCCTAACCTTCCTTCCATAGTAAACACAGAAGAGTCTACCAAGTGCTCTTTGTTTTGCTTTTTGTTTTGCTCTTTGCAAGGAAGATGAGCATTAGCGAACTCCAGCAATCAAACAGCATCATACATATGAGTCCAGATAGTCTTGACCTCGAACCAACAGCAGAAATGCATCACGAGATTCACCAAATAAGATCACACCAATAGTTCATAATTGACAATGCTGAAATAGTCTCTCATCATCATCAACGAAGAACAAGAGTTGATATCCTATTGGCGCTCGGCGCCCAGACTACATGTGGCAGATCCTATCTAGCCTAATACTACAATGCCGATGTTGACAACAACAGCTTCCTGAAGTACGAGCATACAGCGGACAATGCCGCACGCTTCCAGCACCAGGTATGTCTCTCGCAACACTCACAACCCCGATCCACACCACATAGATGCCACTAGCACCCAAGGACCACCCTGCGTCACACCYAGCTCACAGCGGAGCAGCTCGGCTATGGCTGCCCGCTACTTCCTGCTCGCCCGTCAGAGCGTGAGTGCCAGCCAGCCAGCAAATAGYGCAGCAGCGCTCGCGCAGCATGCAGCCAGCACCCGAATGCCGAATGAGGAGGCAGGCCCTTCCCTATATCGAAGTGGCCTSCCTGCGTCCAGTCCAGGAAGCTTCCAGTAGGCCCCGGTAGGCACAGGCCCAGACCTCACACGCAGGCCCAGGGCCTGATGGTTGCATGTGCCCAACTGCCCTTGGCCTGCTCACGGCCTTTCCCCCGCGTCTGGCCCAGGTCCCCATTCAGATACATTTGCAAAATATGGCCTGGGCCTGGGTGCCTTCAACCAACTGGCGCAGCGCAACTGTCTGAATTTCACCAGTTGCGGGGTACCCTGAAAA